GTGCGTTAAATGTGAATATTTTAGTAAATATTTCAAGCATATGTTATTTGTTATACCACCACATTGATTTCTAATAATTTATTCACAAATAACTCTTAAATGCTATCGGAAACGCAATTAAAACTTACGAACCGGACGCGCACAATGTAGACTTCCGGCGAAAAACTGAAAGCGATGACGCATACCTTTTTCAAAGCCAGCGCCAAAATTGAAGAAAATGAAAATGCATCCCTGCTACAAAGGAGCGAACAAAAGACAAAATTGACGGCGAAATGAATGCGACAACTACAAAATTTTCAAAGCTGTTCCAACGTTGCCGTCATGATGCAATTGTACCAAAATCGGTCATTTAATTTTCCTTTGGTAGTTTGGTTGATTTCATGAAGCTTTGGTGGGCAAAATATATTTATTATTTGCAACAAAAGTTAGCTTTAAGATTTGTTTGATTGTAATTGTTTGCTACTATTTATAATAACTCTAAAAATATTGGGGGAAACACCTTAATTTGTTTTTTTTTTAAACATGAAGTGTTTGATATATGTAAATTGAATTGATTTAGATGATATAATATTTTTGCGTATATTAGTACCCTAATACTGTGATCGGAAATATGTTGGACTTTGCCTAAATCATGACAAAGTATTTTTATACATTTTCCAAATGAATTTTTAATTAATTGGGTCTTAGTTCATGTGTTGTGCCGATCGTGTAGCTACTTAAGAAATTAGCGTCCCAATTGGTCTACTTTATGCAAATAAATCAAATAAAAAAGTTAACAAATATACCCATCGTATAATCGACATTTACAAATGCAAAAAATATGAAATGAAATAAAATCTCATATTCTGATCATCAAAAAATTTGGTATTTTGGAAACCGTTTGACAGGCTGTTTGGTACCTAAACATGGATAGAGCGGCAACACTGGGATGTGCGTAGACTTCCTTTGCAAAATTAAATGAACCAAAGATATCCAATTGTCAAAGAAGTGTCTTGTTAAAATACATTTACAGGGTGTAGAGTAAAACATAGCAAGGTAGAAGCGTTCTCTCAATTTGTCGGCCATGATCTTTTTTTGAAGTTTGCCAACATTTTAAAATCATATAAAAGTGAAAATAAAAAATTGAAATTGTTCGAAATTGTTGTTGCTTGAGATAGAAAATGAAAATGTGTGTGTGAGTTCGTGAGTAAATTTAAAAATTAAATTGTTTGGAAACGTCAAGAATTTTACAAGTGACTCTCAGCGGTTCTACCTTACTATATTTTTATCATGGTTAGTACAAGAGATAACCTACGCCGAAATGATTTCGACAAACTACAAAATCTTCGTACGACGCTCTGAGACCAACTTTCTTCTACAAAATAAAAATGTGCTAGGTAAACATATATGTATTTAATATATATGGAATAGTTCTAAAAACTACAAAGCATCATATATTTCAAATAGGTACATAAATAAACAGGGTGGAATTATACCAGGTGAAGTAAAATGATTTTGACACTGACACATTTGAAAATTTACCTTGAAGTTTAGTATAAGGCAGCCGATGATCAGAAATTAAAGCGAGAAAGCTGTTTTATACTTAACCTGTTTATTTCGCCTTGGTGCATGGTGCATATGTACATACATATGTATATACGTACATGCATACATATGTACATATCGTCACCTGAAATGCAAAACGACGTAACAACATCGTAACTGAAATGGAAAAAGTCGTGACTAATTTTTAATTTTTTCATTAAATGATGTGGGAGTTGTAATTTGATGAAATCCATCATATCAATCAAAAACTGAATTTAGAATTTTTTATTAGTTACGACTTTTTGAATTTCAGCGACGATGTTTGTTACGTCTTTTTGCATTACAGGTGACGATATGCTTATACATAACTTGTACAAAGTAGAGGATTGACATGCGCGTTTTTGGTAATTTCCTTCTCCATGAAAGAAATTATTTTGTATTGAGTGCGGATCATAATTTTACATCAGTCGGAGATAATTACTATAAAGTATGTAGTTAGTTTTGGATCCGATTTGGCAGCAGCCTATATGCTTGAAATATGACATCGAAGCCGTTAGCGATATCAGCATTTGTACTAAAATTCGGTCTAATCCCGAACATACAACTTTTTACCGGGTTTTACAGATTTTTTTAACTTGTTTTAGCGCCTTTTTTTAATTTGACAGTTTTTTTAGATTTAGTCCGATAAGTACGAGATCAGGCCTATTAATGGCTAAATAGCTGACTAATGTATACAATGCAACTAAAAATATAATTTTTTTACAACAAATTTTAAATTGAAGATTTTATGAGATAAAACATATATTTTCTAAATGTTTTAAACTTTCTCAATAAATACGTCGGGCACACAAATAGTGCTTAGTGCACTAAACCTATATAGGGCGTCCTTCAACCAAATTCTGAGCTAGACCGTTTTCAATAAAATTCTGAAGTAAGCCGTTCTTGAAAAGTTTTCTGAAATAGAGCGTTTTGGAGCCGGCTGCAGAGATAGGTCGATCTTCCACTCAGCCGTCGATATATACTTATACTCCAAAAATCGCTCTCATTTTCAGAATTTTGGGGGAATTTGGAGCACGGGATCATTTTTCCTGTAACTTCCTGCAAGTGAGTGTAAAAACCTGTAAGTCCACGGAGTACTGGATCAGAGCTTAAGTCTAAGTGACAAGTGGCTACAAAATACCGTTTTTAATCATTTTTTTTTTGCTGATAGTGTCACGCATTATTTTCCATCCTTTGTACATATGTTCGAAATTTATTTATTATATGGAAGAGAATGGCCAGCACCATTAACAAAAAAAAAACAACAACTGTATTTTCTAGCCAGTTGAAACTTCCACTTCATCACATCAAAACTGAATGGTCTATAAAACTGCACCCAAAAATAAAAAATAAAATAAAAATTGAAACTTTGGTAAAAATTTGGTGAATTTTTATGGAGTTATGTGTGTATTTGATGTTTGTTGTTTTACTAGCTAGCTTTTATAAAAAATAATGATTAATATTGAATAAACCCCAGATACATAAAGCCGAAACTGGTAAAAATTAGGCGAGTCTATTAGGTAAATAAAATTGTAGTATTGTACGATTTTCATAGTCCGATGACAATGTGCCGGAGAGACCCTGATTTTTATTGTGTAGGTTTTTAGGTGATTTTTATGTATAATATTACAACAACATGACATGCACTTACATACATATGTATATACCAAATAATTATATTTGCAAAATGTTTTCCTCAACTAATTTATACATTCAAGTGGGTATCCGTTTATATTTTCAATAGAAAATAATTACATATATGAGCATAAGGAATTAGTCGGCTTCCGACTGCTGCAGCGTCAGAAATTTTCAACAAAAAAAGTTCACTGGGTGGTAAAAACAATTTTCAAATTAAAACCCGTTTTATTATTTATCCATGTTATATCGTATAACCATAATACGAAAAATTAATCAACTTAATGCACAGGAATGTGAACTGTGGTTCAGCGATTTATTTTTTTTTAACCTAAACAGCAAGTCCATTTTTATTATTTGTCGGAGACTTTTTCGTATAAAGTCGATTAATTCCTTATGAACATTTAGTTATTTTCAACGGAATTGTATACAATTCTTTGTGATAACGGTAGTTAAAATCATGATAAAAACATAGCAAGGTATAACCGTTCTCTCAATTTGTCGGCCATGATTTTTTTCTGAAGTTTGCCAACATTTTAAAATCATATAAATGTGAAAATAAAAAAATGAAATTGTTCGAAATTGTTGTTGCTTGAGATTGAAAATGAAAATGTGTGTGTGAGTTTGTGAGTAAATTTAAAAATTAAATTGTTTGGAAACGTCAAGAATTTTAAAAGTGACTCTCAGCGGTTCTACCTTACTATATTTTTATCATGGTTAAAATTATGCATGAATACGAAGTCCATGGATGGAAAATACTTATAAACTAAAGGCTATAATGTTGTTCGGCCATTATCAACTCTACAACCAAAAAAAAACAAAATGCTATAATAATTGCATACCACAAAAAAGTTTACCCTTGTTTATTATAAGTGTCACAGAAAAGGATAATTACATACCTTATTAAAATACCGCTTTTACAATCGTTTCCAAAATCTAAAAACTACAAATTTCAAACACAACTGACATTTAAAAAGCGGACGCACACTACATATATTCCGCAAATTACACAGCGATTACGCCTTTTACTGCCAGTTAGGCATCTATATATTGCATAGTGGCGCATTTCGTATGATACCCAACACATTTACTGCTGAATATGCCATTAGAAAGCTACATTTTTAACACACTTAATTCGAAAACAACTTTATTTGGAAACACACGTTTCATCTGCAACCCGGACGCGCACTTAACAAACTTTGCCTGGCAATTTAATAGAGCGAATCACACATCTGATTGATAAATAAGCGCTTGAACCCCGATTTTAACGCACTGCTTACAAACACAATTATTAATTCAATCGGAAACACAAATTATAGATAAAACCATGATAAAAACATTATCATAGTTAAAACTATGCAGATTTCCTTCACAAAACATATGGAGCGAATGACTGATTGTCAAATTAGCGCGCCATTTGCGGTATTCTTGAATTCTAACACGTATATACGTATGTACATATGAATGTACGTATGTATGTATATGTACAAGCATTTCGGTTGCTACGCCCAGTATGCATTAACAAATGTGCATTAAATGTGAATATTTTAGTAAATTATTCAAGAATATGTTATTTGTTATACCACCACATTAATTTCTAATAATTTATCCACAAATAACTCTTAAATTCTATCGGAATCGCAATTAAAACTACCGAACCGGACGCGCATAATGCAGACTTCCGTCGCCAAACTGAAAGCGGTGACGCATACCATTTTCAAAGGTAGCGCCAAAATTGAAGAGAATGAAAATGCATCCCTGCTACGAAGGAGTGCACAAAAGATAAAATTCACGGCGAAATTACTGCGACAAGCTACAAAATCTTCAAGCGACGCTCTGAGCTGACAACGACGGCGCACAAATTCAAAAATAGTTTCACTGTCGAATGAACAAATAGAGAAGAAAGAATTAAGTTTGCGACTGACAAATTCACGGACGCGCGCATGTTAATTAATATTGGTCGGTCGCAAAGAGGTGCACCGCAAGTTAAACTTAAATAATAAGCCACCGCTTACCCGGAGTAAATATCCAGCAGCTGCATTTCCAAAGTGGCGTGGCGGGCTAGGAGTTTAAAGTCAATAAAACAGACTTGAAAACGTCAAGATCAGAAAAAAACTTCAATTATAAACATACAGCGCTGTCTATTTTTTATAGAAATTTTAGGAAGTTAAGTGATAAGCGGCTAATTAATTTTGTGGAACCGTGTTAAATTAATCTGCTGGTGTACGAGACTTCGTAAAACGCGAAGCGAAAAAAGAAACTTTGAGATTTCGGATCGGCCAATAAGAGTAAAAGAGAGCGAAGAACAGTGCAAAGGAAAAGGAACATTGCGCAATGGCCACTTTCCATATTCATCAAGATGCCGAGAAGGAAAATCCACATATGCCTGCAGCATTAAAGGAGAAAACCTTGGCCACTGGCAGCAACAGAGTGAATGCCTTACAGCCTTCTATCCTCGGAGCAGCCGCTGGTCCTATAAAAGGAAAGCAAGCTGATGGTGCAGGCCGCAGCAACTTGGCTGTGCTAAACGCAAATACAAACAACGGACATGGACGCAACACAGCTGGAGGTATGGCGGGTAGCAAAGTGGTAAGTACCTATGTATGTGGTTTCCTATTTAAAGGAAAATATTAAAAAAGAAAGTGCGCAGGCGTGACGGAATATATTTTGTTTTTATTTTGAGGTAATGCAGATTCATTATTCAATAATTAAAAAGTTCGCTCACAGTTGCCAAAAAATGCAAAGGTTAATGTCCAGAAAATAGAGTCTATTCTAGCAGTATCAGTTTATTACAATAATACTAAACCTTTCTGTAACAGGACTTTAGAGATCTACACACTAATAACGGGTTTCCATTATAAGCACTAAAAACACAAGATAAATACCTACATAAAAGATTACCCAACAAGCATATAATGCGTTGAAATCTTTTATTTAAGGCGTGGGACATATTTTGATATTCACCCATTTAAAAAACAGTGTGGAATTTATTAAATATTTACTTGAATTCCGGTTTTAGTTCATTCTTCATAAAATATTTTTGTTATTTAATCTAGGCGTTTCGAGAAGTTGGAAATGCAAACACACACAATGAGAATACTGCAATATTCACTGCAGCGGCGGCAGCGGTCAAGAAAACCGTAGTGGAACAGTTTCAATCATTTTCTGTATATGAAGATCAACCAGATATGGTCCAAAAATATTTTCAACCACATTTTGTAGCCGCTGATTCGTCCACTTCGACTTCGTATACATCCGCGATTGCATCTACAGAAATCACACAGACAGAAAAGGAAAATATTTACACAGTCCAACAAAGCCGTCACATTAAAAACGATTTTAGGTAATGTGTGCTTGTAAGAGCTCCAAAATTCCCCAAGCAGCCTTATGCAACGTTGCATTGCCAGATATAAATCTGGGTCGTTCAGGCTACGTATACCTGACTGTAGTGGAAATGCCGATAGCTAAATATTTCTGATTAAATTTTTTATCATTGCTTTTATTTCAGTGAATCCTCAAAAAAGGAAAATAGTGTTAATGATGAATGCGCTTTGGATACCACACCGATGTCCGTTTCCGAGGTGCTTTCACCGATGTCGGTTGATCGCTCTCATATTGGCATTACTCAACAATCCGATTCGCAATTGTTGGATGATGACAATGACGACAAAAAAGTCGCTGATTTAACCATCGAAGAGGAAGAGCGGGAGCGGCGGCACCTCGTACCTCGTAATGACCGTCAACGTTTCTTTGAAGTAGTGGAATACCAAAGGAATATTTTGGAATATTTTCTCGAAAGTGAGGTAAAGTAAAAATTTTCCTAAAACTTGAAAATGTTTAGCGGCGGCTGAGTAGGAGATGTGCCTCAATCGAGCCACTTAGCAGCTGACTTTATTTTCTTTTGACATCGAATTCGTTAATTCTGTTTTCAGTGTTGCCAGAAAAAAAAATTCGTTTGCAGCTAAATCGGTCGAAAAAAGAGCTAAAAAGCGCTAAATAATGCTAATAGTAACTAAAATGAAGAGCTAATTTTTTTAAGTTGAGCATTTATTGACGTAAAGTTGCTTTTACATTTTCCGTAATTTTAATAAATGCAACGAATTTTATAAAATGAATTGCTACAGCACTTATAAATAACTAGAGTCCGACCGATTCCCAATTTTTGGCCGATGCAGATTCCTTAAAAAAACTACCTGAATATAAATTCATTCAAGAACAAATGTTTTTAATAAACTTTGGTAGTAACAAAAGAAAAACATAAGAAAACAACATTACAAAGCAAATAATCATTCAAGAATCTATTCACTTATTTATGTACATATATAAATATGTATCAAAAGTAGTATATCGCCTATTCACACATATCATTACAATACTTTGTTCCATAGTCTTTTTCTTATTCAATGTTAAAAAACATAGTTCATTTGAAATCACATTTTTTAGTTGTATTCATAGTAGTAAATATATGCAGCTTCTACTGACTGTAAATGTGTTGGGTTGAATACAATTTGTTAATAAACAGTAACTAGATTTTTAATGATAAAAGTATTTTTATAACGTAAACAATTTAACAATCCAGTAAAAAGAACCCGAAGGATTTCGGAATTCAGGGATTAATTCAAGGATAATCGTAACAACACTTACAGTAACGACGTACGATAAATCGATCGGACTCTACTTATAACACATGCACACGCTTAACGATTCTCTAAAAAATACTTAACAAACTGTTAAAATCTGCAATCTCAAATATTTTAGTTGACCATAAAAATTCGGGAGTGAATCATTTTTTGCAAAATTTTTCTGGAAAATTTTATTTCATTCTCTCCTTAATTTGTTTTTGTTATTTTATGGCCTTATAACAATTATATTCAACAATTTTTTTTGAGCTTGAGGCATTAAGGTAAAATTAGTAAGGTAAAAACAAAAACCGCGCGTTCAGAAAAAGGATTTTCTTCTAATTAATTTTTGAATTCTTTAACCTAAGTCCAAGAGTTTATGGTGGAATCTGTAGGTTCCCGTGAATACAAATGTTCGTTTTTCCACTGCGTTTCAAAAGTTATAATTTTATCAATGCTTGCGTTTTGGCTTTATATACCGTATTATCTTATCGGAGCTCGAATTACTGCCAGGGATAGTTTGTGTGCTCCCGCGCACGTGATAGAAACTAATCGACTTACTTTTTCCATTTGCATGCGGAGCTAAATAGAAAAATAAAGAGCTAAATCTAGCTGCAAAAGCACCAAAATGGCAACACTGTCTGTCTTGCTCGTTCAATATTCAGTGCGGCGCAATGTCAATGATAAAATGGAGGTGTTGTTAGAACTAATTTCAAAGTGATACAACAAAAACTGTCCATTATAAACAAATTTCGCTATTCGCCCTCTTGTGTTCAAATGCTTTCCCGCCACTTCGGCTTTTCCCCATTGCAGAACATATTAAGGGATGATTTCTTCAGCTGTCGTAAAACATTGTCATGCATGAAGCAAGCATATTCTCTTTTGATTCCTGTTCCACTCAAAAGATGAAATTTATCATATACATGTGTGTGTTTAACTTGGTTGAAATACATAATGATTCTCGAGCGAATGGTGCACATCTACATATCTACGATATACTCATTTTTGTATATTTAAATGCATAAGCAATAGTCATATTTTATCTCTAAATACACCAGTAGTAAATCAATCTGAATGTGATGCAAATTTTCATGATCAATTTTGAATCGTTTGAACAAATAATCCTCATTTTAACGTGAAGTTTTGTTAAACTGATCATAAAACTCCTTAGATACGTAATTTTTGTTTAAAATATTATTTGTAATATCATTTTGCACTCTTTGTTCATCTGCAAGTCGAGCGTTGTGGCGTAAATGATCATCCAAAAGTTGCTTTTGTTTTCGTTCCAACTCCAGCTGCTTTAACATCAACTCGCGATCCATATTAAGAGCATATTGTTCCCACTGTTTGTCCATGAGCTGCTGCTCAGTTTGCTTCTTCTTGTTAAGGATTTTTTGTTGTAACTGCTCCTTACGAAAGCTCACCAGCTCATCATCGGTCATACCTCGATACATAAATGCTATTTTCTTATTAGGATGCGTACGCGACTGTGCAACATCCGGATTTTCAGTTAACATATCACTAGTAAGCATATTATAGATTTCGGCAAGATCATCTTCGCTATTTTCCTTTTTCGAACGAACACGGTCGAACCGTTTAGACTTTGCTAGTTGCGAATTGAAATCATAAATGACTGCAGTCATCTGATTGCGTATCTTCCGTTCTGCGTTTGCCATATCCTCGAGACGTTTATCGCGTGAGGCTATTGACTCTTGCATCACTAAGTCGGCTTTAATGCGGGCCTCCTCAGCTTGTTTGCGTTCTTGGACTTGCTGATCTAACCAGGCACGTTGTTGAGCTTGTTGTCGTAATTTACGCTCGCTATGGCCAAGATCTTCGCCGGAAAAAACTTGGGCACTGGAAATACCCAGACGTGTGTCGTCGTCTGCTACACGCGCAGGTAAGGCCTTCTTAATCCAGTTCGGGTCATTTAAATCGAATTCGCGCCGCTGATCTTTGCGCTGAAAGCGGCAGCGATAGTAATTGAGATCTGCTTCGGCCACACGCTTCCGTTTATCCATTTCCAGTGATTTCGCGTAAACGGCAAGTTGCTGACGTTGTGTCTGGTCTTCATAGCGGCTTTCACATTCCGCATCAACCTGTCTTTGTTTCTTTTTCTCAGCAATTTGACGTTCCAGAGCCTCCAAATCTAACTGAATAAAGAAAATATATGTAGTAGCTTGATTATTATTGTACTTTGAAAACATACACCAAATAATCTCTGCTTTGCATTAAATATACGGCCTTTGCGTTCCTCTTCATATTGAGCACGCCTCTGTAGTTTAGCGGATTCATTTATGTCGCCTTTCGTTACAATTGGAATCTTCAACATTTATGACGTTTGTCTGTCAAGTGCAGCAGTAGTTATTTTAGTAGATAATGAAATTTTGAAAATAAGTAAAGTATAAAAATTATGTATGTATGTAAATATGTATATATTTTTTAGCTCTTGATTTAAAAATCACTTACTGCTGAAAATGCAAAGTCTTGATAAAGTGAAAAACAAGGAAGGCAATGGATTGGGGAACACATTAAGACTGTTTGGTCGGTTACTAGGAAACTTGCAAAGGCTCTGGTATCAAGTGCATTAGCTCTGCAGCTACATATCCCTATTTGCGAAAAAAATTTTTTGTTGCAAACAGGTTGTTGTTGTTGTAGCGGCTACCAAATAGGTTACAAATACAACATTTAGTGTCCTACAAAATTACAGACTGCTGGCTGACTTCCAAAACGTACCAATACAATTTTTGGATACTGTTCTACTGCAGTATTTAAACCGTATGTATAGGCAGAGTTGCGAAACATAGCAACCATATACATTGGATATTGAATATTTAATAAAACAATGATCACCACAAGGCGAATTTATATAAGGTGATAGCAGGAGTACAATAACAAAAACTTACATGTATTTTGTTTTTGCTTTGGCGGCATAAACTGTCAAAATCTGTAAGAGTGTGTGTGGAAATTCAAACAAAATTTTTCCATTTGACATAAGAAGCCGTGAGGCGAAACACATACACAAAATCAGCTGATCTAGTAACACCACCTTATATAAATTCGCCTTGGATCACCATTTCGGAATTTTCGATTTTACATCGCTTTTTTAAAACACAAATGGTGACCAAAACCAAACGAAGCATCAACTTTGTTTCTGATGCGCTGATTACTCTGGCGTTACGTTTCGATAACTCAAAAAAGTATGCATTTTCAGCCAATTGTAGTTCGGCGTTATGGAATAATGTGCCATCTTTGTACGTATGCAATGCAATCGACGTTTTGGAAGTCAGACCCTTTGACTACGTATGGTACAAAAAAAAAGCAAAAGGAATTTTATCGTTTACTTTGTTTACACTTTTGCGTTCCTACAATTTTAAGATTTTGATTTTATATCTTTTAGTTATCAAAACTTTTGCACTTTAGTCTTCTTTCCTTTTTATAAAATTTCAGTCTTTGATTTTAATCTCTAGATTATAAGTTTTCGTTTAGCAAATTTTATCCAATAACTAGGTTTAAAAACACACGACGATCCTTAAAGTACCCACACTCCTTTGTTTATAAATTTCCAGATTATGCAACATAAAACTATCGCAAGCACCAATTTTTTGATTAGTTACCTTCCAGCATGTTCAGGAAAAATATCGTAGGGACAATTTTACCTTTATACAATAAGGTATGCAAAAAATAAATCGTCGTTTAAAGTAAAAAGCCGCGTATCAACAATATGCAAAACCGCGTATGTGAGGTTGCATTAATTATTTTCTAGTTAGTAAAAGCATTCATATTTCAAAATGGTTCTCTTTTTTTGTAAAGCAATCGCATTTCTGGCAAGTATATTTCAGGACGAATGGATAAGGATTGAGCTTGTGTGAGCAAATCCAATTTTCGGCAGCAAATGTCAGTTACGCGGTTTTGCAGAATGACGATACGCAATTTGTACTTTAAATTACGAAATAGACCTATTAGAAAGCTATCAGTCGATAATGTCGTCGGTGTCCATTTACATCCAAATAAATTTTTACACCGTTTAAGGGAGAATTTAAAATAACCGCTCCTGTAAAATTTACCTTTTCACACTTACGATAAAATCGCAAACACGGGTCGATATGTACATATGTGTAGGTATGTGCACATAAAAAGTTATTTATTTATTTATTTTAATTTATATTTTATAAATTTTCAATGGGATAAATTTATTTATTTTTTTTTTTAATAAATGCTCTAAAGGTTGTAAGATTTTGAGTGCGGCGCTCTTGCTTATGATTAAAAATATTAACTTCACTTACATCCATTTCAATATTTCTCACAGAAGAAACATCGTCCTAAACCACACTATATGCGTCGCCAGGCTGACATTAATCATTCAATGCGTACAATTCTCGTTGATTGGCTGGTAGAAGTGTCTGAGGAATACAATTTGGATACAGAAACCCTATACCTTTCCGTATCGTACATTGACCGCTTCCTTAGCCAAATGTCAGTAGTACGCAGCAAATTGCAATTGGTTGGCACAGCAGCAATGTATATAGCATCGTAAGTTTAAGATCAGAAGTCTCGAATGCGTCGATAAATTTTATCACTTTTCTACTCGTTCAATCTTAGAAAATACGAGGAAATTTACCCGCCAGACGTCGGCGAGTTCGTATTCATCACTGATGACACCTACAACAAAGCACAAGTTTTGCGAATGGAACAGATTATATTAAAAATTTTAGCTTTTGACTTGTGCACGCCAACGGCTTATGTTTTTATCAACACATATGCTGTATTGCTGGACATGACAGACAGGCTCAAATACCTGACTCAAGTAAGCTCTATTCCATTCGCAGGTCTATTCTACTCCTTGCTGATGTTTTAGTTACCGAAAATCGTTATCATTTCTATTAACCGCAATTGATTACATTGGTAACCCTGGGCTCGAATCGAAGCATCCGTTTACGGATCGAAAACCAGACGAAACAAAATTACGTGATACGTCAGTCGTATAAACTGAATGGGATAAAGAGTACGTTCACGTACATATTGCATAATCCGAAAATGCGTTTTTTACGTGATTACGCGTGGATATCGTATGTGACGATTCGAGCCCTGGGATTGCATTAAAATATCGCAGGTTTTAAGAGTGCTCCGAATGCAACAGAATGTATAAATATGTAGGAGCTTTATTCACCGAACAAAACTTTGGAGAATAGATCTGTAAATGATACTCTCAATTTACCCATCCATTTATGTATTCCCCTAAAACTACTTATTCCACTTTACGCGCAGTACATATGCGAATTAGCACTTTTGGAAGCTGACCCATACTTGCGTTTCCTTCCATCGTTAATTTCCGCTGCAGCACTTGCACTGTCGAGACACCTGTTGGATTATGCGATTTGGACTCGTGAATTGGAAGAGGTAACATCATATTCTCTAGAAGACCTGAAAGAAGTATTTTTACACCTTTGTAAGACACACAACGCGGCCACAAAACTAGCGCAGCAGGCCATTCAGGAAAAATACAGAGCCGATAAGTAAGTATAACTATATATATGTACATAGAAGGCTAGTTGGATATATGAAAATTCTAACAAATTTGCACATTCTAAGATACAAGAAAGTATCTACTATCAAGCCTGCAGAACTCGATGAGGCAGCCTTTGAGGCCCTGTTACGCAAACACAACGCTTTTGTTAGATGTGAAGAAACGCAAGAAAATTCCACATCCGGTACAAATAATGAACACGTTCGGCGGGCGATCTCTCTGATGTTCAATTGATCCAAATCAATCCACTTTCGGAGTTTTTAATATTGTTTGAAAAACGCTTAATAGTCCTTGTTCATATTTTCTGTTATCCCTTCCATTTTTATTTGGATACAGAGTATAAATAATTTATTTAAGCAACTGATTTCGAGGTATGATAACGCAAAAAAAAATAAATAAAAGGGAACACATATACGAAAAATTCTGCGGGAGCGTTTTTGAAAATATGTTCAGGCAGCGATAGAATATAGACTTACCACAGTAAAATATAAATATGATATGCGTATCAAAAAGTACTATGTAACTAACCTTCTGATTTTTGTTATTTAAATTTATAAAATAAACTTGTAATAAATACATACGATGAGCATATTTACATTTAATTAACATATTAAGATAAACAACTTTAAAACGGTTGCTTAAATATAATGAAAATATACTCTGTACGTATCTGTTTGTAGTTTTAAAAAATAAAATCCTTTATTTTAATTTTTTTCCAACCAAACCCTCCCCGAAATATGTAATGAAATAGTTTTTGCATACTTTGTAATGGCTAGTTTCATGGAGCAATTTAATTGAAAAATGTTTTTGTTTTTTTTTTTATTGGTTAAATAAAAATAATAATTTTCAATTAAATTGAATCGGTAAGTTCGGCAACCGCACAAGCCCAAAATCAGTTTTGCTGTTAAGATCATGGACATGTACGGGTTTTCTCCTCATTTTACGATTGCAATCAGCTGTGCTATGCTAACGGCTAGGCATCCGTACGTTGGTTGTATGGCTTTTGATTTTAACACAAAAAAAAATTTATTTGCGCTTGTACACTTGTCGAACTCACCCGTTCAATAGCTTTCGTGAAACTGGCTATGAATGTAAGTTTTCGTTTATTTTTTCCTAACATCCTGTTTTCTTTCCTTCATTGTTTGTGTGATGTTTATTAGCCACAATTTTGAAACAAAAAGTCGGATTAATCTAATTCTCTTTGGCTTTGCCTTTAACTTTAAATCTGATATAGCAATCGAACGACTTAATATTGTTCATAAAACTAGTTTTTTACATACATATGTCAAAAACGGGTTGTTTGCTGAAACTCCTGTTTTTGAAATGTTCTGAATTACGGTTGTGTGCACATTATTTGAATAATACTTATCGTCACCTTGATATAGAAAGGTCTTAACTCATTTTATTTCGAAATTTCGTTTTACACGAAAAATCAGTACATTACTCACCAAAGACCAGAAATAATTCAAAAATAACTACTATATTATTAAATTAGTTTTCAGTATTTTTAAACCAGTGTTTACAATAAATTCGCACCTGAGTAACTTTGGTTTTTATAATTACTCTAAAGAAAAAAAATGTTATAGGACATTTCTATATTAAGGTAACTATATACGGTTTACACATTAAAACGCTGTGCTGTGAATACATTTCTTCCAGGAAACTAAACAAAAACTACTTATATAATGTTGAGAAGTGTTCAGTCTTAACCTAAATGCACTTCTTGAAATTTGTTCGGTTTCCTTGTTTTGAGTAATATTTCACATAAAAATCCAAATCATGTGTTTGTTTTTAATTAGGAGCACACAGCTGTATCTGTATTTTCTTGGTACTCGTTTCGATTGTGGCGAATATCCTTCAAATTCTATGTATTGTATTACACAATATTTTTAAGTTTCTGTCCTTGTATTAGAATATATATTTTTTACTGTAGTATTAGTGAAATGGACTGCACTAAAGCATATTCATAAAATGCTAGCTATTATTTTAAAACGGTGAAATTATTTAAAAATTTTATAAAACAATTAAAAACTAATTAAAACTAATACTTAATGTGCGCAATAATTTTTGTAGGTTTTAGGTTAACAGGGAATACTTTTTTTATTTTATAAAGCCGATTTTACCAGATTCCCAGGAATAAAAAAGAAAACTCAGTGTACTTTGAAGCCCAATAATTTTCAGCCGACGATTACTTTAATGCTAGCATTGGAATTTGTTTAAGATGACTTATACCTTGCATTCATATATACAAGAGGATACAATGTGGTAGATTGCATGCTTTAGAATAATAGGTTTAATATAAATTCAAATAAAATCTAAAAAAAAAAACAACGAGTAAACTAAGTAATGGGTCGATTATGTATAGCAATGCCACTTTAGTTGGGTCGCCGATGGGTAACGCCAGTGGAATGAAAATTTATATTATGAGTAGCAACTGCAGTTAAATGCTATAAAGTTAAAGATAATAGAATTTTGATAACCAGCCATCCTTGAGTGTAAAAAGACTGTTGGAACAATTGGTAAAATAATGAATTTTCTCAGTCAAATTTTCCCCTGCAATTCCTCAAAAATTCAGTTGCCAATATAACAACTCAGTTGCCATCAGCCACTTGCAGTACACTGAAGGTTGGTTGCAAACCCTAATCGACCCATAAATGTTTAGTTATAATTGATGACCAGATTCATAAGTTTCTCAAATTAAAGCATCGACTATTAAATTGGCGTACTATGTATGTACGTATAAGTATTGCCTTTCCTCACTTCAACCCGAATTGTATAAGAAAATAAACAATTTAACTTAAAAATATTTGCTTAAATTATATAAAATAAACAAGGAAAAAAATGCATCGCAACGGTAATGGGACCGGTTTTGTCTTATTCAAATAACATTTATTTAATAGGTAAGTTCTTGAAGAAAAATATTGTGAAGAAACTAATAAAGCAGTGGAGGCAAATCAATTTTGTTTAACAAATGACAACGGTGTTCCATTCTAATACATATTTTTTTTGTTTTTTTTTACCGAATGACTAATTAAATTGTGTGTAATAATAATATTTTGGCGCTTAAACTTTTGCTAAGTGTTTGGCCAAGCTCCTCCAATTTGTGGTATGTATCTTCATGTTGTTACACAAATGGATGGGCCTACAGTTTTACGCTGCGCTGCCTCTGAACGACAAGTGGATTTTATAGGAAACTTGTTCATTGCAGATATACACTCTGTGGTTTGTCATTGGCTGCAGAGAGGCGACCGCCCCAACCATTCAACCACAGCAGAGGCATTTTGTGTTGTTTGAGTTGGGCAAAGATTGAGTTCTCACAAGAGGCGAAATATCTAGGCATAATAATAGATAAGACACCCAATTGGGACTCACAGCGGTTAACAACAAAGCCACGAGGGGCTGTTATGATTGCCGAAGTCTCCGTGGTAAAACTTAGTGAATATCCCCTAAACTAACGTATTGGCCTGGTTGCCAAGTGCCAAGCAAGAAACCTGAAACATCACTGGGTAAGCTGAACTGCCTGGGGGCCTACTCTGTAATGCGATATGAAAGAGCAATTCGATGCGATAAGCAATCGCCACAGCGTATTACTTACGATGTATTTTGCATTTCTCTTTCGCATCGCATTACAGAGTAGCCCCTCTGGTTTGTGTGGCCGTAACGGCGGTCATGCGCACGTGCCCGACAGAGGTGGTTGAAGTCTTTACAGGCATACCGGATCTAGCTACACTTATAGAGAAAGAGGCTTGCTGGAGCGCCCTGAGCTATAATCAACTTAAGTCATCATTTTTATTACTTAAAGATTTTGTAAATTATTAGAACATTAAAAGAGTGCTTATCCGATACAGTGTGTTAATCTTGTAGTCAAAGTTCAAAAGGGGCATATTATATTTTAAAAAAAAAGTCAGTTTGCTGCCTTTTCTCCCATGAGGCGATTTCTTAGAGGCTCGTATATAAGGCCGGCTGCACTGAACAATTGCTTACTTGGAACCACCAATCGGGAAGATTCTCACCGAGATGAGCTCGTTTTTCTTTAAGATAGACCTTCAATTGAGTTTTAATTTCAAATCTTTTAATGTCTCTAGATCCGAGCCTTCGCTTTAACTAGAGGAATCTAAAATTATTTCTTGATGATATACTTCTTAACCATTTAGCGCCTGAAGCTAAAAGTATGTTATTGTCCGCACCCTGCTTAGACAGATGTAGAGCCATTTCAACAATATTAGAGTGGACTCTCTGCCCATGTACACATTCGCATTCGCAAAACATTCGTATCATTTGATGCAAATGCGAATGTGTAAAATGATGCGAATCATTCGCATAACGAATGCGAAATCAAATATTCGCAACATCCCTGCTATATATTACATTTTACGGATGCCCTCGATGTTTTTGGAACGGAACCGTGGTATGTATTTCTTAGACCAATTATAAAAGTATTTTTTAGAAGCATTTTACTCAATTTGTTTCTTATAATTCCTATACATTTGGGAGTAATGATTACCATGATACAAATATTTTCAGTCTAGTTTTCCTGGCCATAATTAAGTGTATTTATATGAAAATGTTTACTAAATTTACGCGGTGCATAAGAGTGCCAATGTAGTTAAAACAAAAAATCCATATGGCACAGACCCAATTTATTGGTCGATGTAATGTTTTTGTTATTATGCTCCTCATACTCAGCAATGCGCATTCAAAGCAAATGTGCTAGGTCAATGTCAAGTATGGTAATGTTGAGTACCAGTATACAGCTATACAAATCATTTAATACATATGTATTTACCCGCAAATGGATGAACGACCTCCAATTTGTTGAGCAAATTTCTTGGATTAGCAATTCGCCGGTTCATGCATTTCATTTAAAAGTGATTACGGTTGAAGTAAACTATTACCGGTGGCTATATATGTAGGTATTAAGGCATTCAATACCGAAGCATTTTAACAATCGCGGGATTTCAGGATACGAATAATTCTTATCCCGGAATTTTGACTTTATCACAATTTTTGCATTTTGCAATAACCCAGCAAACACAGTCTAACGTTAGAAAAATATACTGATTTTACATTAGAATTCTAATGTAGTTCTCGCATCGGAAATCATGTTAGAATTCGATTAGAGAATGATGAGAAAACCACTAAATATTAGAAACCAGGGACGTGAACCGGATGAAAAATTTGTTTGGTTCGGTTCAGCGGTTCGAACCGTTTTGCATTTTTGGATTGGTTTGTCAAAGCGGTTTTTTTGGCCTTTGAACCGGGGTATCGGTTCGGTTCAACGGTTCGAAAAACAAAACAAGTTTAAGTGTCAAGTGTCAAGTGCAACAACGCGCAAGGTTAAGAGTCAAGTGTCTGTCAAATGAGATGGGTTGCCTTTACATTTGATATTGTCACATGGTAAACAAACATGATGGGTATTACCATGTTTACCAAAAAGAAAAAAAGTGGGTACATTTATCTATTGAAAATTGGTTGAAACGAACCTTCAATCTTTATAGAAAGTGGTTCGGTTTTCGGTTCGGATCAAACATTTGTGGTAAATTTCGGTTCGGTTAATGGTTCAGTTAATTAATAGAAAATAGCGGTTTTCCGGTTCAAAACCGGTTCGGTTCAAAACCGGTTCACGTCCCTGTTAGAAACCAATTAAAATTCATCGTTAGAACACGAATAGATATCTAACCTTTTTCTCGATATCGAGAACTTATTACTCTACTTATTGTAGAGAATGCTATAATTTTCGATAGCTTCTCTAATCGTCTTCTAACCTTCTACCTTAGAGAAACACATTAGAATTCGAATTGTTTTCTAATCGTTCAATGTGGGGAAGCTCGCTGCTTTCAGCAATCAAGAATGAGTTAATTTCACAGATTTATTGTCGCCACATGTGGTGTTAGGCGGAGCATAATGCAGCTTGGTGAAGGAAGCCGTAATTTAATGTTAAATATTTGTATAGTGTTCTTTAATATCTACACATACATATTTATTGTATAAATCATTTATGCTCTGTCTACTGTAAAAGTTCCTTGTGTTTTTAATTGCTACCAGATTTTTCGTTTTTACGTAGTTCTTTTACAAAATGTTTAAGCAAGTACATTTATACAGGCGGATTTTGAAATGACTCAAGTTCACTTTGTATCCAAATTTTGGTGCACTGTTTTCCCGTTTTTCATGTCTAAGCACGTGAATCAATTTTGCGATGTCAACATCACTTTCACTCTGTAAATGAACCAGTAAAAGCCTCAGTATCCCGAAGCTGTAATCCCGGGATTTCGGGACATGGAATAATTGAATGTCCCATAAGGTA